GATCTTACATTTAACTGTAGGAGGAGATTATATTATTAAATGCCCGCGTAAAATTCATAACTTCTACATACGGACTCCGTTTTCGTCTTTCTTTTTATCGTTTAGTTCCTATTAATGAGATCTTCAACTCTCATTTAGGTCATGTAGACCAAAAACCGCTCGAACTAAAATTCAAGTTTCGGGTCGTGCACTGTTATGCCAAATCTTAGAAAATTCATAATTTCCTCATACCAAGTCAGATTTGGGTGTTTTTTTTTTGGTATGTTCTCGGTTTAACGTATACTACAACTTTTGTTTAGATCACTAACGCTAAATTTTTTTTTATCATAAATTCCTTTTTTACGATTCCCGATGTCGTGTCGGTTTTGCCGAAAAACTTTGACGTGTCATAACTTCTTCGTTATAACTCGGATTTCAGTGTTCTTTATCTGTACGGAACCCTTGAGATATATTCTACAACTTGGTTAAGATTATTTATTCTAAATAGTTATTTGTCGAAAAGTCGTTTTCGACACTTATTGCCTCTGAATTGACTAGTCCGGATATGAGGGCGTTACAATTATCTTCCCCTTAGGATGATTACGTCCCGGAATCATCAATGGAACATGGTTTTATAATGATTCCATATGTTATCTCTTCATCCTAGGTAATAAATGTAACCTCTATGTTTCTTTGAACGAGTATCTGACTCTTGGACTTCTTGACTGCAGGCGGTGCTTGATCTTGCACTTGCTTCTTATCTCACGCTAGACTCCAAATTATGACCTTCAAGTCACAATCTCGATCCCCACTGGAAACAAACTTAAGATAAGCTATTTTATTACTATAATGGAACGATGTGTCATATTCTAATGACACATCATCGTATGTTGCAACGCTTAGACTCAGGTCTCTTAGAGTCTTCCAGAACAGACTATACTTTCCTTCATGTTCTAATCTCATCTTAAAATATAGCATTTCTAGCTACAAGCAACCGTCGCAATACCTCTACCGATCGCTTTGGTATGTTCAAAAAATGTCATCCAAATAAGGTTATTGTACAAAAAACACCAACAAACTATACGTTTTGTTCAAATGTTACCTACAAGTAACCAACTCTTACAGGTTAAAGGATGACTTTGCCTAATTATTATGATATATTTCTCCCTTATAATTGATTTATGGTTTCTTCATGAGCAAATAACTTTTTCTTCTCCTCTGATTGCTTCTTCTTCTACTAAATCGATGATCTCCAACTCAAGCTTACACATTTAAAAAGACACAAAAGATATTTGATGATACAAACCCTTATGGTTGTGGGCATCCTTCTCTAATTTGGACATCAACTACGTAGACTAATCCTTACGAAAAGTTTGGGGGCTTGTCCTAACCGAATGGTAACTTTAACTAAAAGCTTTATCATGTCCTTCTACTGTATATTTACTTGGTCATGTGATTCATTTTTTGAATATATATACGTGTACGCTTTTACTATAGGTAGTATAACAATCTTGAGCAATATTTTTTTAATATGTATGCAATTTGTAACGTGCCTACAACAGTGTCTTGATGAATATTTATGCCAATTTGTAGTTTTATGAAATCTACTTGTTGTTTGCATCTTACGTAGCTACACATAATGACTAAACTGGAATGCATTCCAAACTATTATTCATCTTTCAATTTTCACAAATTTCATTTCTTGAGCTACTTATGGACATTTATCCCATTGTTTTCGTAAGTTCATGTCGTTCGTTTATAAAGAAGTCCTAAATCGATTTTTAAAGGAGGATTGTATCAACTAATATCATGCCACTAATTATTATATCCCATCATTAATAATTAAACTTAGTCATCATTTAACATACAAGAGCTGGTTAGCAATGGGTAACATTTGAACAAAATGTATAGTTTGTTGGTGTTTTTTGTACAAAAACCTTATTTCGATGTTATTTTTTGAATATACCAAACTTGGAAGATATTTTTTGAACGATTTTTTCAAACATAGTTACACCTTGAATTATTTTCTTGTATTTTTTTCCTTAATTAGTTTTTACATGTAAATATCAGTTATTATAAGGGTGACATTTGAATAAAGCATGTAGTTTGCTGGTGTTTTTTGTACAAAATATTATTTGAATGATGTTTTTTTGAACAGATCTTTGTTTTTTTTTTTTTAAATAATTTTGAAACATAATTATCCTTATAAGTTTTTCCCATCTTAATTAAAATGATACGGTGTGAAAAAAGACACAAGAGTGACAAAAATTTTGTGAGAATTATATTAAAGTATTATTAATATTACCCAAACATGATATTTGTTATCATTTAGAAAGATATAGAAAAAATGGATGAATTTTATTTGTCATCAAAATAAATTGTAAACTTACTCGTAGAAAGCGAATAAGCGATAGCAGGGCAAATAGCCTCTCATTTCTCACCGTAAATTGTCGCACAAGTTTTCGTGAACCACGACAGTCTATCTCTCCGTCGCACGTCGCCGTCGCTTTTCCGTGCAGACCTGCGTTGCTGCGCTTTTCTACAATCGGCTTAAACTTGAGGTATTCCTCCCTACTCCTTTCAGTTTCTTACTATTAAGATTATATCTTGTTTGTGTGCATATAATATAGTGTTTTATCGTTGGCAGTATTAACGCGCCAATATATAATATGTTCGTCAATTTCGTTCAGCGTGACCCAGTCTCTTGTGTATAGTTGTTGTGTTACTGTATTGATGTGTGTTGAAACCCTAATGGAGAAAATTTTGGGGGCCATGATCTATAATTTTACATATCAACAATATCTTGATTTAATTATCACGTCTTGTTGTGTTGTACATTGGAACCCTAATCGATGAACTGTGGGGTGGGTTTTTTAATCCGATCATCCTTTTTTAGGAGGTCATCCATTAAACTAGAGTTTTGAGCACTACAAATGGTCATCAGGTTTCACTCTGTTTTTACTATTATCCAACGCCATTGCTCTCCTAGTCTCCTTGAATCTTGATTATTTTTTCAGTATTCAGAACCTTCCGGAATACTTTCAGAAATTCAAGTAGTCATAACATATTAACATGACCAGTATAGTTCTCTTATTTTAAAGCAATTATAATAGACAGTAGACACTCCTCTAATCAAAATTGTGTGCTTTGTGTTAAAATCATTTTTTCACTCTCTTTATAACATAAAAGCAATCCTTTTCTAAAATAAATTTGATCAAGATGGAAATGATGAGATGCAGGTGAAAGTGAAACGAAGACAAGAGACTGGTGCCTTGTTAGTCATTTTGAGATGACTTTATAAAAGATTTCTTCCCAAAACTTATTTACTGTGGATATCTCAATTAAATGCAACATACAAAACACATCCGCTTTATAAGTTCATATAGTTATCCATATCGAACTAATAATGAGATTCTTATAATGTTTGGAATCGGGAGTATATACCTATCATGCTTTTTATGTAAAAGAATAACATACTTTTGGTAGAAGCACATTTTATGATTCTCTCTTATATACAAATATACACTATCCTTGTTGGTTATTATGTGATGTCCACTTTTGTTTTTTGACCTCTTAATTAACAATTATACTTTCAACATGAATGAAGAATGACGATACCTATATTATATAAGATGATAACACTAATGACTAATAATAGCTCATCAATCCAGTTGTATAACATAGTATACAATTGGCTTTCAGTGTTATTTTGAAATAATATATCTGTGTTGTCGTTTTGTGCATTGACTTAGTAACCGATGATTACATGATTCTATTTTGTCGTGCTAAAATAACTGTGTGACTTTTTTTTTTATATATTTTTCTTGCTCTATAAAAATGGTGTGCGCCACATTCACATGCTTCGTTTTTTTTTTTTTTTTTCTTTTTGTTGTCGCCATGCTACGTGCGTCATCTAAGTCGTTATAGAATGTCTCTTGCCACTCAATGATTATAGTTGAGTGGCATATCTGGTAATTAGTATCAACTTTAATGACAAACTAGGGAAAAGAAAATGGTTCCATCACTCTTAAAGATTTTATCTATTATAGCTTCTACTCTGTCTCTCCTCCTTTCTTTCCTTTGCACAAAAATTTAATCTTTTTCTACTTTTCTTTTTCAACCTTTTCACCTACTTACTTGGTTTCTTAGATATATTAAATATTCACTATTCTATTTAGGTTACCAACCATGTGATAATTTCCTTAGAAAGAATCGTGCGTTACAGACTCTCAAAGCAATTATATCAGCATCTGTAGCTATATATAATTCTTTGAACATATCAGACATCTTGAATCTTGCTTATTTTAACACCACATCAGTGTTCTTTGTAGCGATAGGGTAAAACAAACCTAAAGGGATAACATGTTTTCATATTCGCTTAAAATTTGATACATAAGTTTTGAGTATGGTAAATTAGTAATTAGTAATAACTAGGCATATATCTGAAACTACCTGTTTTACAACCTTCTCTTCAGTGGCAACAACAATACCTTAATCCCATACCAAAATGAGGTAAGGGGAGGTTAGATATAGATTGCTTTACCTCCACCTAAGACAGTTGTAAGAGTGTGTCTGACCTAGAGATATATCAGCTATCAAAAAGCAAAGTTGCCCAACATAATGAGGTTCAAAAGATACTTTGATGTCACAACAATTTAACCCAAACTCCCATTACAAATTATTACTCGTTTACAGGGAGCTGAAGCACACAATGAAGTTATTCAAGACTTTCTAATATTGTCTGTTTCAGTACATTAAACCCAACATCAAACATATCAACAAATTACTCGTTTCTGTTACATATTGTCACTCTAGTCTTTGTGCGTCTTATGAAGGATCAAAATCAATTTTGTTATATGAATTTCCTTCCAGATATGCTCAGTTTCCTTTTCATTGATCAAACAAAATCAGGAAATATTCTATATCTATTAGTTTCCTTTTATGTTTTGAAATTTGAATCTTTGTTCATTTTTTGTTGTTGTTTTTGCAGATTATAAAGTCATTTGATTACCAAACCAAGCATGAAGTTGCAACTGAGATCTTTTGAAACCAAAGAAACCCTTAAACTTGAAGTCCCTAATCCCTGCACTCTCCACCATCTTACACAACTCCTCTCTCAAAAACTCCCTTCTTCTTCTTCTTCACGTTCTTCTGCTATATATTTCTCTCTCAACCAAAAAGACAACCTTACAATTTCTTCCTCTGAAGAATCTATTCAGTCAACCGGAATCACATCTGGTGATCTCATCTACTTCACCACAAACCCTAACGGATTTTCCATTTCCCTTCTTGTCTCTCCACCACCACCACCACCCAAATCAGAACAATCTCAACATTCCCAAACTCCAAATCCCAATTCCAGTCTGGAACTCCCGCCTTGCTTCATTCGACTTCCAAGCGAACTGAAACTGAAGATTCTGGATTCCATTTCCGGTGTTGATGTTGCAAATATGAGCTGTGTATGTTCGGAATTGCGATACCTGGCATCGAGCGATGAGCTCTGGAAACAAAAGTATGTTGCTGAATTTGGGGATTGTAATGGGTTTGGGAGTTTTAAAGAGAGATTTGCAAAGGTTTGGGAAAGTCAGAAAAGGAGGAAGAGGGTTAGTGGGAGTAGGTTAAGTTATGGTCGATTTGGTCCAATATTTGTTCCGAGTATGCATACTTTTGTGAATCACAATAGACTGATGTTTTCAAAATTATCAGGAAAATGAGTAACATTGTCTGAAATAAAAAAACCCAATACAAAATGCGATGAATATTTTTCAAATGCCTTGAGTTGTTAGATTCCAATATGTTATACAAATTGTGGTTGGTTCGATATTGGGTAAAAGAAAATAAATCTTAAAATCACTTGAGTCAATGAGATGATATATAGATGAATGTTGGACTTAGGGATGAGCATTTGGACTGGGAACTGGCCGAAACCGGAACTGGAATCCGATGGAACCTGTCGGGCCGGGACCAGGACGATATTCTTGTGGATTTTTGAAACCGGTAGAACCGACAAAAATCGGAACCTTATGTTGCTATTTCTTGATGACCGGTTCCAACGTTGAAGACACGGCAAGAATTGGGAATTGGCAGTCCCGTTCGGTTCTTAATTTTGTCCGACTTTGGTTCCCGGGCCGGGTTGGTTCTTTTGTTCATCCCTAGTTGGATACGTGACTACAACAGCGGTGCTGCTAAACTATAAGCATAATAACCGTAGACCGATTAAGGAGTGAACCGGGAACCGGACCGAATACCACTAACCAGTTCTAGTTCGGTTACTAAGAAGTGTGTTATCTAAGAAGATGTTCAGAACCAGAACAAACCAATTTTGGAATAACAAAAACTGATGGATTAGAGGAACTGAGAATTAGACAGAATAGCAATAACCGGTTCCAACTTGTTCTGGTTTTGTTTGGTTTTTCGGTTAAAAAGCTCTGTAATATGGGTTAATAAATAAGTTGTGTATATATGTTGGCTTAGAAGTGAAGGAAATGCTATGTTTGCCAGGTAATTGATAAGTATTTTCTGGTTACTAAATTGATTAATTAAATTACAACGATATACCTTCTTTTGTTTTTTATTTTTTATTTTTAAAAGTCTCAAAAATAAATATTCGGGAAGAAAGATACAGACTAAGAGCGAAGATTATTTGAAACTTCAAATGATATCTTAAAAATACATTAAAATAACTAGAATAAATAAAATTCAAAGGATGGTAGTTAGCTACTTCGGAGCTTGTTTGGATGTGTTAAGAACGAGCCTTTTAGCCAATCAATTAAAGAGAAGAAAGGAAAAAAAGAAAATCTCAAATATAACAAATAAAAAATTATGCGATTGGTCATGTGGTATTTCAAAATATGCATAGCAAAGATAATTATTAAAAGTTAAAACCCCTTATGTGCTTGGTCCCTTAGGTTAAAAAAACTTTACCGTAGGGTCCTTTTGGCTAACCCTGTCCAAATGGGGCCGTTAGTTCATCCCATGTGGCCAGGGGCGTATCTAATAAGGAAGAAGGTTGATCCTAGGACCTACCTAAAATGTCGTAGGTCAAACCCTAGTCAAGACCAGGTCAAAGTTAACCGGGTTGACTCAGTCAGTACACGGGATGTACTCCTCATGTATGCGAGGGGCGTACCTCGCAATTAACCGAAGGACGCGACGCTAACCTCATACGCTAAATGTACCCTTTGGTACGCCCTGCGTATGAGGCTGCTTGCCAGCCTCTTAACCAAGTGCTTAATCATTTAAGCATCCACATCCAAACTTCAGATCTAGGTCACATAAGATGTCCTAAGCCATAAAGTTTTCAACTTTATGGCCTAGCATGAGTATTAAGTCCTTAAAACCAAAACACTAGGCTCTTAACCTGTTAAGACCATCTAGCACTTGTATGAGGGAAAACTAATGACCAAAAACCTAACTTTATGACTTAACTCCTCTAAAAACCTCTGAAAGGACAACTCAAATGCCTCAGACTACCTCCTACTCACAAAGGCTAAGTTTGGGACCAAAAACGAAACAACTTGAGCAAAACTAGATCTAAGAGATTCTATCATCAAGTTTGAAACTTTACCTCCACAAGGCGCACAAAAGGGACTAAATGTTGGATCCAAAGCCTTGAGTGAAACACCACCACTTCCATGTTCTTCCTTCTACTCCAAGAGCTCCAAAAATACACCAAAATGGCCCAACAAGCTTCACAAAGCACAAAAACTCTTAGGGTTTTCAAGATGAGGATGGAGCCTGAAGGTAAAAAGGTGCTTGAGGCCATAAATGAGCTTAAATAGGGTCCAAACCCAAAAATTTAGGGTTTGCACTCTGGTTGTGTACCTGCGTACGCTCAACGTTCTAAGGTGCTTCGGAGTACGCACTTCGTACGAGGGTGTACATGTTGGATTAATGTCTAAGTCAGTAACCATATTTGGTATATACTTGACCCGAGTGTGCATGGTCCTTTTGGGTTGCCTTCACCAAAGCAACTTGACAAGGTAATTTGATATGAGAGAGGAGATATTATGATTTATTAATATATTATAAGAATAATATATTAAAGGAGAAATCATATTTATTTGATTAGTATTAGTCATAAATTAATTAGGAATTAATTTGGTGACTAAAAGAGACAAATTAAATAAAGGGGTATAAACTGTCAATTGTGTGATAGTTGAGTTTTGGGCTAGGAAACCTAATGGACTAAGGGGGAACGAAATTATGATGAAGGATCATCATATTTTCGTCCAAGGCCTCATTCCATAAGGTTTCTTGGGCTGCTTGGTGGCTAAGCTGTCCATTAGGGTTTTGACTGAAACCCTAGCACCCTATAGTATAAATACATACCCTATGCTTCAATTTAAGGCCACTTGATTCCAAGGGAACCCTAGGGCCGAAATTAGCATCATTCCTTCTCTCTCTTAGTTGCCTTCTTGCTTCAAGGTGTTTGTGAGCCATTAGAGGCACTACAATTGTGGTGCTTGCTTTCAAGAGTTCTAGAGAGTTCAAGAGATCAAGGAAACTAGTTGTTATTGCTATATAACAACAAAGGTATGTTTTTCTACACTTCTATGTAAATTTCGAAAATCATAGAAGCATGCCAGGGTTTATTTTGTGTTCATATAGTTGTATGTCTTATAGTGAAAACATAGATCCAAACTAGGGTTGTATGCACACATAGGATTGTTTGTATAAAACCTAACAGTGGTATCAGAGCCATTGGTTTTTTGTTTTCAATTGGATTTGATGCATATTATGAACTTGACAAATTAGGGTTTATGGCAAGTAAACCCTAAGGCTTGGTGATTTTCGCAAATTAGGGTTGCCAAACCCTAGTTGGCGATTTTTTGATAGGGTTCTTGAAACCTTTTTGCCTAGCCTCCAAATTTCGAAATTAGGGTTATGAAACCCTAGGGATTTCGAAAATCCCTTGTCCCCAAGATAAGATCCCAAGATTTTAGGGATATGGATAATACTATCTTTGTGATTATCAATTTAATTGTTTAAACTAGATAATTGAAGATCTTGTATTATCCTTTCCATATATTTAAAAATAAAAGGATTAAATAAATTAATAGTTTAATTTTATGATAATCCCTAAAGATTTAATATTCAAATTAATTGTTTGATTTTGATAATTATTAAATCAAAGATTTTTGGTGTTTAAAATTTTAAATTAAATAGCCTTAATTCCGAAAATTTTAAATACACATTAAGATACTAGTATTTTTGAAATGTTTTAAAATACACCCTTATACAATTATGATATTATAAGATTAATTATTATATATGTATAAGAATAAGCTAGTCTTATCGCTAGTAGGCCTCATTCACGAAGCCGGTCTATAAGGTGGGTATAAGGTTGCTGCCTATAAAATGGCGCTTAATGGATGTACACTCACATCTACCGCTTGCTTGACTGGTGGAGGGTCGTTAGCCGAACGGATAGGATAGGGCACTTAATTCCTCATTAAAAGTATAATGGAAATATTAAAGTAACTACATTGTTTTACAAATTCCCACTCTTAGTTACTTTAGGGTAAAATGTGAAAATGATGCTAATCCATGGAATTACACTTCGTACCCTTGTCAAACGTTGATGGAGCGCGTGTGGTTAACCGGCACATCAATTTGGGGATGACATTGGTAGCGAAGGGTGACTCGATGTTTGTCATAGATCAATGGAGCGTGTGTGGTTCACCGGCACATTGATTAGGTGATAAAGACATTGAGTGCACCGCGTTGATTCGCATGGTTATTCACAAATTTGTTTGCGATCCTCGGCATCCCAGTCGCAAATTTGAAATGCATATCGAGATTTAAACATGCCATTGAAAAGTTCAATGAATCTCAAAGATCTAGGAGTTTTCAATACATTTAAAACCTAAATTGCTTTTTCGTTTTTCATGGTGAGAATTAGTGAATCGTCATTCACTTACCTTCAAATTATTTACTTTTAGAGTACGGCATCCCTTTCTAAGTTGTAAATAATGTTGTTGGATCCTAGCCCTAATTACTCATTTGGGTGTTTAATTAGGGATTCATTTCTAATCAAACTTTGTTCCTTTTCAGATGTCTACAAACAACAACAACAACGCTTCTGGGTCATTCTCGTTGATGAACTTGTGTCAGAAAGTGACATTTGATGGTTCAAACTTCACCGAGTGGATGAGGTATATCCGCATGATCACACGCTACGAGGACAAAGAATATGTCCTCGATGAAAAGCTTGAGAAGATCATCCCAGATGTTGCTACTCCTGAGGAATTGGCCGCCTTTGAGGCCCACGAGCGTGATGCCACGAAAGTTCACTGCATCATGCTGGCCACCATGAACCCGAACTCCAAAAGTCCTATGAGGACATGTATCCATATGAAATGCATCAGGATTTGCTGGAAAGGTATCACCAGAGCGCGAGGCAAGAGCGCTATGAGATCATTACTACATGATCACCGCTAAGATGGGGAGTGGAGAATCCCTAACCTCTCATTTGCAGAAAATGCAGAGGTATGTTGATCGTCTTCTCAAACTTAATGTTAAGTTTGATGAGGATTTGGCTATCGACATAATCCTCCACTCCTTGCCCTCCTGCTACAATCAGTTTAGGATGACCTACCATATGAATAAAGAGGAGGTCTCCTTGAGCAAGCTCCAAGGACTCTTGAGGACTGCTGAGAGCAACCTCAAAGACAAATCCGTTGCACCGTCCCCTGCTGTGGCCGCTCCTGTG